GAGAGCAAAAAAAAATGGGTGGCTCAAATTCGAAAGCCGCGCCAAGTAGGAAAGTCAAGTTTGTGTTTCAACTATCAAGCTGCTCTCTTCTTGCCATTAACACCGAGAGGTGCCTTACTCTAGTTAGGTTTTAAAAATTCCCGCTTCTATGGGCAAATCATCGCCCCCCCCTCAACCCCGCCCGAGATACTGCATTCTCCGCTTTCCAGTCGCTTAATGCCAGTTAATTGACGTGCATCAACCTACGTCGGTTTGTAAATTAGACACCGCGAGAACTGCATATAACTGCCGAGAATCCGTTCAGTGACGTAATTAACTGGGGGTATGTGATAGAGTGCGGGAGCTTTCTGAACGCCCGACAGTGTCGAATGCTCGGAGGGTGATGCTTCTTCCTTTTACAGCAAGTGCTTTCTCAATAAGTTGTCTATCTGCATTGTACAGAACAGAGACTCAAAGTAAAAGGCGCTCAACTTTACAACGGAGGCAGCCTTTTTTAGTTCTAGCGGAGTTTTAAGATACATCTTGAAGTTAATTTATCTGTTCATGGCATTCTGTAAAGTTCTAAGCCCTGTTTGCTCCCTCCTTGGCCTTGAATCGTACGCTCTGTGGTCATCAAAAGGTGGCCATAGCAAAAACGTCTGACGCGATGTCGAGTGCTACTTTCCCAATAGAAAAATTTGCTCATTCGAAACTTGATTTTTTTCGTTTTGCCTCGAGGAATTTGATTGGTTGACAGGTTACTCGATGACGCATTGCCTAGCTCCCAAAGTCCTTATCGCAAAGTTTTTGGAAAATCGATCGTGCTGTGCGATAAACGGCCGGAGTGCCAAATGTTTTTAGACCTTTTTTAAATAGTTTTTAGTATACAATAAAGTATTCATGTACTAAAAAAGGACTTCAGAAAAGTGCCACGTGATATATCATGCAATGGGGGGGTTTTATTTAGAAGCAAGGCGTTCCGCTGTTCAAATACAATTTGAGATACGATTTCTTCGTACGAATTTCGTACACTTTTATGTGCAAAATTTGTACGAAATTCTCGTTAATTCGTGCTAAATTCGTTGTAATTAGTTGACATTTGCTATTAGGGTCGTACATGCATTTTGTATCTATTGACCTTTTGGGCCATTTCCTGACTTCTGTCCTCCTCCATCTCAATTAAGTCCCGAACTCTTCTGACCAAAGAACTCAGTCTTCCCCAGGTCAACGATTGCCTGGCTCTGCACTTGGGCGTTCTTCACAGTCTCACCTTGCCCCTTCCCAAACTACCCACATTCCTCTTCAAGACGCTGGCTAAATTCCTTCAGCAACTCACCGGTACGAGAGGCCTGTCTCGGTCCGGTAAACAGTCTACTTTCAGAGATACTGAGCAGCTTCCCGACAACCTCCTCATCAGTCCCCCCAACTCCCTGCTGGCCTCAACTCTTTTCGGTTCAACCTCCTCCATTGGCTCCATTCCCGAACCCCAGACCCACCTCTTCAGATTTGTCTCAGATTATCGGCTCGTTGAAGAGTTCGAATGGCTTAGGTATGTGCACTCTGTTTGCAGTCTGTCTACCACCTTCCCCGGACATGTCCCTTTTTGTGGAAGGTTAAAATATCCCCTGAAAACTGTTGAAAACTGCGACTTGTTTTTTTTGTCTGGACCGAACACAATTTCTATTCCCTTACTGTGCAGTCACCATTTGGAAAGCCGTGTCCCCAACTTATCCCACTTCACTACCTTTCCACGACTTATTTTCAGAGAGGGCATCCTCTCCCTATCTCTCTCTCTCTCTCTCTGTCAACTATATCCGGTTTTTATTACTTTTTCTGGCAACGCCAAATCCTTTCGGATGTACCTTTTCTGGCATGTGCTCCTTTTCTGTGTACTTCTGTTGGATGCATTGGCTCTTGTCACTACTTTCTACAGGCGGGGTTTGTTTCAGACTCCTCTGTTGGACTATACTCCAGGATTGACACTAGCAGTATGAAGGGATTTTAGGCAAAACACCTCATTACCGCGACCAGTGCAATTCGTTGGAAGGCTAACATCTCTGTAGTGCTGTTTGTAGTCTAAGTGTATCTGGAGTTAGCGTCGTCGGTTTCCTGAGCATATTTTCTATGACTTTAGTTGGTTCATATTACCCTAACCAATAATGCTCAGTTTTGGTATTTACTCATCTCTTCCACTGGAAGGCGATAGGATTTTGATGATCATCTGTTCTCTTAATGGATCCAGTTGCAGGAGGAGTTCCGTAAATGCATGCACGGAATAGTGAGGAAGCCCCAATCACATTTCCTTGCGTGAGGTGGGATTTGTCCTCTGCTAGATCATACGATCATCCACTACCCATCTGGTGCTGGACAATATACTTTTCCATACAGGTGGAATTCTTTCGTGGCCTAAGTTTGTGTGTGTTTGCCGTATACCAGTTTCGCATTCTACCGAATTGAACCTCCTACTGTGTTTCTGTTGCGGTTATTCTTGAAGGAATTAATCCCATCGTTAGAGCAATAAGTAGACAGAATGCCTGTGTAACCTGACCAACTCATTAGTATTTTTTCGGGGAGGCTGGCGCATTACCTGGTTGTGAATATCAAAACCTCCCTCGGGGAGTCCAAACTGAACCGTTTCGGTGAATGAGGAATCACCAAACATGCAACAGCAATATTCTCAGGACCAACCT